AATCTGAAGATGTTGAATCCTTTGGTTTCCTGTTAGCTGGAAAACAGGAGAGCAGTCTGTGGATGCAGTAAAGATGGCCGCCTTGCTGTCAGAGGGCGATGTGGCGTGTTCATGTGCGAGTGTTTTGTTACTTTATCCTTCCTTTGGGAGCAGTCTCAGGGCAGCGTTCCTGATTCTGGGATGATTTTCCAGCCATTGAAAGAAACAGGTTTCCTCCTGTGGCGGATGATCCTGCTGACTGACCTGGATAATATTTAACGATCTGCTGTCAGGGTCCGAGCTGCCTCGTCTCAGGTGAAGGTTCTTGCTCTGCTAGCTTCAGTTTAGCTCATCTAGTTGATTTCTAGGTTGCTGTTTAGTTCATCTTCCCTGTACTGAGCCTCCCTGTGTGTCTACCTGTCATGTTTCATGTCTGTGTGGTTCTTGTTGTCAAGCTTGCGTCATGTCTATGTCTCCATGTTTCCTGTTTTACTTTGAAAGAGTTCCTTGTATTTAGTTTGACTTCCCCTCATTGGGTTCATGTGTGTCAGCTGTTCCCCTGATCATCCCCTGATCGTCTGTGTCGCGTCGTCTGTGTCGCGTCGTCTGTGTAACCCTCCCAGTTACGTCTCGTCATAGTCGTCACAGTTCCCACAGTCACAGTTGTTGTTAAAGCGTCACAGCTGTATCACAGTGTCATAGTCTCGTATAGTGTTCAGTATCATAGGATCGTCGGTTTGCCTTCTGTCATCAGCCAGAATAAAATCTCGTTTGTTAAAGTCACGTCTCCTCGCCTGTGTCTGCTCTTGGGTCCTGCTCTAACTAACACACCGGCACCCCGCCGTGACATCAGGAGGCTGAAGGTCGCCGTGCATCACGAGCTTCCATCTCGTGTTTCCTCTTGAGGAGGCTGAAACGTGCCGTCCTGTTCTGCAGAGCTTCATGCTGAAGGCAGCAGGATCAGGCTGCGTGTGCTCAGCAGCGTCTCGTTCTCGTGATGATAAAAGCTGTTTGCTGCAGCCTGAAGAGGGATTTGATGCTCTGACTGTCGCGCAGGTACATTGTGTGTTTCTCTGATGTGAATGGCTCATTCAGGATTTATCAATGAGAGGATACACTTGAAGCTCAGAGACAGGCGAGCTGGAAATGAGATCAGAGCAGAGAAGCCTCCTGAAGGACGGTCCGGCCACCGCCGACAGGACAGAAATCATTTGAAACACTGATCCAAACGCCCGCAGACGCCACGCGACCTCACAGAGAAAAACACAGAGACTCAGCATGACTCCGGTGAGGTGATCAGAAAGACAAAGGCGACAACGAGAGATCAGAAACGCCGCTCAGATCAGCGCTCAAACTCACGGAGACTCCAAGTCTGCTCCGAGAGCGCCGAAAGGGCGGGAACTTCAGCGTGACCTCGAAGAAAGATGAACGACATCAGCTCAAAGAGACGTCCACACGTGTGCAAGAACCCGCTGTTGCTCGTATGCGCGACGCCCCGA